GGGAGTTAGATGGGTGCAAGTGAGAGGTCTCGAAGCTTAAGTTTGGTTAGCTTCATAGTAAGGTCACTCCGGAAGCCACTGAAAACCTGTTGTGGAAATGAGGTGCCTTTCTTTGCCCCATCAAATTTCTCTAGCTCATTCTCTGATGAGTGGCTGTCACTTCCTGCTCACCAGCTGCAAATCCTTCCCAGTACGAATTGCTATTTCACTCTCTTGTATTACCGTGTTTCTCTCCTTTATCTCAGCTGTGATTTAAACATTTTTGTGTTGCTATTTGACTGTCTAGCTAGAGATTCTAAAGTAATCTGGGAGACATAGACTGTGTTGTGTTTTGCTCGTGGTTGTAGCTCCAGGGCTTGCCTAAGTGCCTGGTGTATAGTAGGAGCTCAAATACTTAATGAATAAATGAATTTAGTAAAAGATAAAGGCAGTAGTAAGAACAAATTTCTTTTTTATGCCTCAGAGAAAACTACCACTGGGTAGATTACTGGAGGTCATTTGGGTCACCTGTGTCCATAAGAGTTATTTGACCCAGAGCCTGTTCTTAGGTATAAAAAATTGATTCAGGCTTCACCATTCAAAATCTCAACTTAAAGGGAATTGACATGAGCAGTATTAACCCTTGCATTTAGCTGTTGAGACCCTGACTTGACTTGAAACCTCTACATTCACATACAGATAGAAGAAACACACTTCAAGTCAAACAAGTTGATAAGGTTTGGCTGTGTCCTCACCCAAATCTCATCTTGAATTGAAATTCCCATAATCCCCATAGCTCGTGGGAGGGACCAGGTGAAGATAATTGAATCATGGGTGTGGTTCCCCCTATCTTGTTCTCATCATAGTGAGTTCTGATGGCTTTATAAATGGGAGTTCTCCTGCACAAGCTCTCTTGCCTGCTGCCATGTAAGATGTGACTTTGCTCTTCATTTGCCTTCTGCTATGATTGTGAAGCCTCCTCAGCCCTGCTGAACTGTGAGTTAATTAAACAGCTTTACTTTACAAATTACCCAGTCTCAGGTATGTCTTTATTAGCAGCATGAGAACAGACTAATATACAAGTGAACTGCGGGATAGTTGTCGTTTGGGATCTGTGGCTCTGTTCCCCTCCATAGGTAAAAACTGGCTGTTTAGTACTTTACAGATGGTTCTGCTCTAAACTGATACATTCCTGTGAAACCTTCCCTTCAGCAAGGGATAAGCCAAGAGAAAAGTAGGGAGAGCCACTGTTCCTTTGCAGAGCTTGTAAGCCGGTGCAGGAGCATGCCTTGCTGGGAGGGGCTGGCTGGGGTGTTGAGGTAGGGAGCTGAGGCTCAGGCCCTCCGCTTTTCAAAGTCACCTGGTCCTCTCACCTGTCTCAGTACAGGCCAGGCCAGTCTCTGCCTCCATGCTTGGCTCATGTTGTCCCATTCCCATACTCCATTGAAATCCACCAGGTCATCTGGGTCAAGCTCAAGCTCTAGCTCTTCCTTGTCCTGCTATGCCCACCCACGTTATTTTGAATGTCTTGGAGCTCTTGCAGCCCTGTAGGCAGAGGCGTCTTCTCTCATGCTGTTGGATTGCACCCTGACCTGCATTATTAGGTGACCCTCCTTTGTCTCACACGTCCCCAACTATTCTGTAGACCTGAAGCCAGAGAACTCGCTGTGCTTCTGTAATTTTGGTCATTCAGGCTCAATACTTCATTCTTTCATGCGACTAGTGGTTCACTAAGTACCAGGTGCTGGGTCAGAGGCCTTGATGACTGAGGGCTAACTGGTTTGACTTAAACCAAGGGTGGGTGGGCTCTGTTCACACTGCAGCCACCTACATTGCTGGAAAAAGAGGAAAGCTACTGAGAAAATACTGTCGTTAGGCTGATGACTCCCAACTTTACATCTCTAGCCATAGACTCTGCCCTAAGGTCCAGATTTAACAAGCCAGCAGCCTACTCAGCATTTCCACCTACAAGTGCAGTAGATGCCTCTAGCTTCTCGTGCCTGAGACAGAACCGTCCATCTTTCCCCTTCTACCTGCTCCCTCAGCTCAGCACACACTTGGGCTGAGACCTAGGGGTAGCCTCCATTCCTCTCTTTCACAGCCCCTGAGCTCTTTACCCAGAGAGCAGATTTAACATCTGATCACTTCTCCCCACCTCCACCACTGCCTCCCCAGCCTAAGCCACCTCGTAGGCTCCGAAATGGAAGCCCTGATTATACTCTTCAGCCTTCATTTATTCTTTAAAAAAAAGTGTTTTGGTTTTTTTTTTTTTTTTTGAGATAAAATTTGGATACCATAAAATTTACTCAGAGTGTACGATTTCAATTTTTTTTTTTTTTTTTTTTTTTAAAGACAGAGTTTCACTCTTGTTGCCCAGGCTGGACGGCAGTGGCTCAGTCTTGGCTCACTGCAACTTCCGCCTCCAGGGTTCAAGTGATTCTCCTGTCTTCACCTCCTGAGTAGCTGGGGTTACAGGCATGCACCACCATGCTTGGCTAATTTTTTTGTATTTTTAGTAGAGATGGGGTTTTACCATGTTGGTCAGGCTGTTCTTGAACTCCTGACCTCAGGTGATCTGCCCACCTCAGCCTCCCAAAGTGCTGGGATTCAGGTGTGAACCACTGCAGCTGGCCAATTCCAATGTTTTTAGTAAGTTTATAGAGTTGTACAAACTTAAAATTAGGTTATCATAACCTAATTTTATATTTCTTTTATATATTTAAAACACACAATTATGGTACCAAACAACCTAATTTTAAAACATTCCCATTACTTCCAAAAGAAACCCCATAGCTTTAGCCATCATCGCCCACCCCAGCTCATTGTCCCCACCTTACCCGCCCCCCACCACCAGCCCTTGGCAACCACTAATATAATTTCTGTCTCTATAGATTTGCCTATTCCGTACCTTTCATATAAATGGGATCATACAATATTTATCCCCTTGTGTCTGTGTTCTTTCCTTTAGAAAACCTTTTTTGGTTTGTGTTTTGGAGGCAGGGTCTCCCCCTCTTGCCCAGGCTGGGTGCAGTAGTGCAATCTCAGCTCATTGCAGCCTTGACCTCCTGGGCTTAAAAAATCCTCCCACCTCAATCTCCTGAGTAGCTGAAACTGCAGACATGTACCACCACACCCAGCTAATTATTTTTTGTAGAGACAGGGCTTTGCTATGTTGCCAGGCTGGTCTAGAACTCCTGGGCTAAAGCGATCTTCCCACCTCAGCCTCCTAAATTGCTGGGATTACAGGTGTGAGCCATCACACCTGGCTAGAATAATCTTTTCAAGGTTCATCCATGTTGGAGCATGTGTCAGTACATCCCTCCTTTCCATGGCCAAATATTCAGTGTAGGATAGACCATTGGGATTGTTTCCATTTTCTGCCTATTATGAATAATGCTGCTATGAATATTTGTGAACAAGTTTTTGCTTGGACATAAGTTTTCATTTCTCTTGGGTATATACCTTTGTGTGAAATTGCTGGGTCTTATGGTAACTTGATGTTTAACCTTTGAGGAAATGCCAGACTATACAGTTGATTCTTTACACATCAGATCTTTTAAAAATGTAAGTCAGCCCACAGCCTTTTCTGCTTAAAAATTCCTCCAGGGGTTTCCCATCAACCTCACAGAAATCCCAGATCTTTCCTGTTAATTACAAAGCTGGGCATGATGAGTTCTCTTTACCTCCTTCTACTCTTATGCTCCTCTGGCCACACTGTCCACTCCTCCCCCCCCCCCCCCCCCCCCCCCCCTTTTTTTTTTTTGAGACAGGATCTCCTTCTGCTACCAAGGCTTGAGGTTAGTGGCTCACTGCAACCGCTGACTTTCAGGTTCAAGCAGTTCTCATGCTCAGCCTCCCGAGTGGCTGGGATTACAGGAGCCCACCACCACACCAGGCTAAGTTTTGTATTTTTAGTAGAGACAGGGTTTCACCATGTAGGCCAGGCTGGTCTTGAACTCCTGACCTCAGGTGATCCGCCCACCTCAGCCTCCCAAAGTGCTGGGATTACAGGTGTGAGCCCCTGCACCGGGCCTAACCACTTATTTGCACCGGTGTTCATCTCTCTAATCTTTGGCTTCAACATTAAAAATGCCTGAGAACCCCGCAGGCCATGATGATGCTCTCAGGAGCAGATGTGGTAGAGAGGCTGAGCTGGCAGTGGCTACCTTCTCTCTAGAAAGGCATGTTGGAGAGTAGGGCAGGAGAGGAGAGAAAGCCAGGGACATTCATATAATAATTTGAGTTTCCAGCACACACCTTTGGAAGGAAATCTGTCACCAAAGAATCAATTGAAACGTATGAGAACCTGGATTTTCAGGCTTAACTATTTTTGCTTGGGATCAATTTTATCTGTGAAATGAAAGCCAGTGGAATAATGGCTTCTTTGAATGTGCACAGTTAATCTTTTATTTTCTGACTGTATTCAAGACAACACTTGTATCTGAGTTTTGCCACAGGATTGCCACTATTCTTATTTACTTGGTTGATGGTTGATTCTATTTTATGTTCCTTCCATATTCTAACAGGAGATCCTTTAATACCTAAGCACTTCCCTTCTCATTTGCCTGCCTAGTAAGGAGTGAAATATTTAACTGTTGAACAATGTGTTATTTTCTTTCAGTTTGAAGTGACAGTTAAGGGGTGGGCATGAGGGAAATGAGAAACTTTCCCAGTTTATCCTGAATCCTGCCTTCTACTATGGTTTCATTCTTTCATTTTTATTGGATTCTCTAAACTTTGGAAACATCTTCATAACATCCATTACAAATGTAACTAACTGTAATTGTAATTCTGAATTCAAATTTGAAGGAGGTGTGGGAGTCCCTAAATGGAGTACTTGAGAATGCATTGTAGTAAGACAGTTATGCTAAATAGATAAAAATAGACCATGTGGATACTGTGCTTGTTTCGTATGTAGATAACTATTTTATGATGCCAAGTCATTAACAGTCAAAACTTTTTAAACACTGTAATAATAATTTGTAGTTAATGTAACTAAGCATTTTGCTCTTCATCTTTAGGAAATTATACGGTTCTGGCTCACAAAGGGTGTCGATGGTTTTAGTTTTGACGCTGTTAAATTTCTCCTAGAAGCAAAGCATCTGAGAGATGAGATCCAAGTAAATAAGACCCAAATCCCGGTAAAGTTTTATTTTAAACATGTTTCTTTTGCCTTTTCTGAAAATGCTATCAGAGTGTTTTCTTTCTCAGCCTGAGATACCAATTACAAAGATGAGTTTTGTCCTGTGTCTAGAAGTACCTTGATTCATTTCTTTAGGAAATGCACCAGAGTTTCAAATGCATATGCACGAGATGTTGTCTTCCACTGGTTTCTTCCAGAGTGAGGGATCCCTTGATGAGTCCTTCAGTGACAAGGGTTCTGCAGACATGGACATTGCAGGCTCTACCAAGGGCCACACAATAGAGGACATTGATGCCTGCAATTTTGTCATCTCACATAAGCTGAAGTAACGAGGCCTTGGCTTGTATGAGATGTAATATTTTGATTCCAGGAGATTATTGTCATCTTAGATGTAGAAATGAGACATTGATTTAGAAATTGTAGAAAGACATAGAAATCAGGAAAAATTTACTGAAACTCTGAGAAAGTATAACCGTAAGGATAAAGGATAGTGGTGGTAAAGAAACAAATTTATGTGACTGATGTTAATATTTTTGTGAGCAGATAAAATGTAATAATGAGCTCTGTAATCACTATCATTTGCTTTGTCCTTAAAAGTGTGGAACATTTTGACAATTACATATTGAGGAGGACTTTGTAATCAATGTTTTGTTTGGTAAAATTTAGTTTGCTAAAATGGGTGACAGTCTATTAGAGAAATAGTTTAGTAGATTTATAAAGTTAACTTGAGCATTAAATGACGTATTCTCCATCCACAAAATCACGTTTGAGTGTGTGTCTTGCCCAGCTCAAGTCCTTCGAAGACGTTGTCTGCATTCACGTAGAGCCAGCTGTGGGCATGCCACACATGAAATGATACCCATGTCGTTCTGGTTTTCAAAGGACACGGTCACACACTACTCGGAGCTGTACCATGACTTCACCACCACGCAGGTGGGAATGCACGACATCGTCCGCAGCTTCCGGCAGACCATGGACCAGTTTAGCAGGGAGCCCGGCAGATACCGGTGAGCACGACACACGCTCTCATTCTTCCCAGGCTTAGTGTGTGATCTGTAGTGTATCCCTCACAACCAGGTGTATTTGGAGGTTCAACTGGAGTGCAGTGGCACGATCTCAGCTCACTGCAACCTCTGCCTCCCGGGTTCAATCGATTCTCCTGCCTCAGCCTCCCGAGTAGCTGGGATTACAGGCACATGCCACCCTCCCCAGTTAATTTTTGTATTTTTTTTTTTTTTTTTAGTAGAAATGGGGTCTCATCATGCTGGCCAGGATGGTATCTATCTCTTGATTTCATGATCCGCCTGCCTCAGCCTCTCAAAATATTGGGATTACAGGTATGAGCCACTGCGCCCAGACCCCAAGCCTGCATAATTATAATTGATTACAGTTTGGTTATACCAGGGCCTGCTGTATTCCTTTTCTGTTTGCTTACTTTGCTGACTTTGTTTCCTCTTTTGTAAAATGATGCAGATCACATTACTTACTTCACAGGAGTTTTGTGAAAATTAGGTTAATTAAAAAGATAATAAGCTAAATGTTAGCCATGAACTATTATTTTTTTCTTTTTTAAAGACCAGCTCTGGCTGGGTACAGTGGCTAATGCCTGTGATCCCAGCACTGTGAGAGGCCAAGGCTGGCACATCACCTGAGGTCAGGTGTTCGAGACCAGCCTGGACAACATGGTGAAAACCCCTCCTCTACTAAAAATACAAAAATTAGTGGGGCATGATGGTGCATACCTATAATCCCAGCTACTCAGGAGGCTGAGGCAGGAGAATTACTTGAACCCGGTAGGCAGAGGTTGCAGTGAGCTGAGATTATGCCATTGCAAGCCAGCCTGGGCAACAGAGCAAGACTCCATGTCAAGAAAACACAATAAAAATACCAGCTCCTTCTCTGCAGTATTATTATCATTGTTATTGGATCTATAGTTTCCTTGTACTGTATGAATCCATGTCTCAGCTAAAGTATCAGTAGATCTCAATGATCAGGAACATAGCTTTGGAATCAGGTAGGCTCGAGGGGTCATCCTGCTCTGTAGCTCTGTGACCTAGGGCTGGCTAGTTAGAAAACATAAGTCTCGGTTTTCTTATAAATGAAAAAGTGATAGCAATAACCTTTATAGGGCTGTGGTGAGGTTAAATTAGATAATATACATAAAGCACTTAAAGTAGTGCCTGGATCATAATACTCAACAAAATTAACTATCGTTTATATAGATTACCCAACAGAATCAATAAAAAGGAATTAAAAAAATTTCCCCTCCTTAAAGTAGGTACACTGATTAATCCGTCTCAGACAGGGAAACCGAGGCTCTACGCGTGCAGGGAATGTCCACAGGAAGGAGTGGCAGACATGGCATTCGAACTGAAACAGTTGGGCTCCAGAGACCATGCACTTATCCATAATTATGCTTCCTCAAATAGCTAAAGCCAGCATTGATTGGAGTAATTTCAGGTGAATATGTCTTCCCCAAACAGTGTTTTGCTTTCAGCAATTGAGAGTGCACACCAATAATAAGGCAAGACTTTACGGGGACAAAAATACAAAGAGAAGTTCTTTTGGGGAAAACACCTCATCTTATTTGCAGACACACACTTTAGATTCTACATGGAGTGATGAGAATTGCTAAAGAAAGTCTTCATGGATGTCAATGAGTTTTAGCCTCAGGATGTTAATGAATTTTGATTCTATGAGATTATTTCTCCTAGGATTTTAGGTTTAGAAAGAAAAGAACAGGCAGGGCATGGTGGCTCACGCCTGTAATCCCAGCACTTTGGGAAGCCAAGGTGGGCAGATCACCTGAGGTCAGGAGTTTGAGATCAGCCTGGCTGATCAACGTGGTGAAACCCCGTCTCTACTAAAAATACAAAAAATTAGCCAGGCGTAGTGGTGGGTGCCTGCAATCCCAGCTACTCGGGAGGCTGAGGCAGGAGAATCACTTGAACTCAGGAGATGGAGGTTGCAGTGAGCCAAGACTGTGTCACTGCACTCCAGCTTGGGCAATAAGAGTGAAACTCCATCTCAAAAAAACAAAAACAAAACAAAACCCAATATTGACTGAGATCCAAATGTATTTCTTTTTATTTTTTTTTTAAAGATAGAGTCTTACCTTGTCGTTCAAGCTGGAGTGCAGTGACACAGTCTTGGCTCACTGCAACCTCCACCTCCTGAGTTCAAGTGATTCTCCTACCTCAGCCTCCTAAGTAGCTAGGATTACAGGCGTGCACCACCACACCTAATTTTTGTATTTTTGGTAGATATGGGGTTTTTTTCATGTTGACCAGGCTGGTCTGCAACTCCTGATCTCAAGTGAGCCACCTGCCTCGGCCTCCCAGAGCGGGCTGGGATTACAGGTGTGAGCCACCACACCTGGCCCCCAAATGTGTTTCTCAACTTTGAGGCGTGACCTAATATTAGGCTAGCCTTTCGATTTACTACAGTGAGAAAGTGTTCATGTGACCCAATGTGACAGTTCTTGGCCATCTGGCTTGACTATGCTTTCCAGAAGGTGCTAGACCTATATGGTTAATAGTGTGCATTCAGCCCCTACATCTTGTACATGCAAGATAAGCAGCTGCAGAGCATCTTCCCAGGCTTCTGAAGGTCCTGATGACACTGAACCATGTTAACTCTTACAGGTTCATGGGGACTGAAGCTTATGCAGAGAGCATTGACAGGACCATCATGTTCTATGGAATGCCATTTATCCAAGAAGCCGACTTTCCCTTCAACAATTACCTCACCATGCTAGACACTCTTTCTGGGAACAGCGTGTATGAGGTTATCACATCCTGGATGGAAAACATGCCAGAAGGAAAATGGCCTAATTGGATGGTAAGTCCTCATGCCAGCATAGCATATAATGTGCTACTGTTGCCCTTGCTGTCTGGTTACCCTAAAATACAATGGACCTTTGTCTTTAAGTGACCATTACCTCTGCCTTATTTGATGATTGTTCAGTGGCCAGGCCTGTCCCAGCTTCTGCCAAATTCTTTTCATTAAGGGGGAGACATGCCTGCTGAATGGAAAGAATATTGAATGAGTGCTTTTCTATGCTTAGAACATTACTAGGCTTTGCTGGGGATGGATATCAAACTATAATTTCTCCCCACATATCTCAGAGTTTATGATGTCAATGAGAAGAAAGGATTTCAGGTGTGGAAGAGGTACATAGCAATTCAGGGTGACATAAAACTGTGACAAAACACCAGTGTGTGGGGCAGAATGCACTGCAAAAAAACTACAGAGATTCTCGGAGAAAGAATTCCTCCCTCTTCTGCACTGCACTCTTCAAAACATTTTTTTTTTTTTTTTTTTTTTTTTTTTTGGAGACAGAGTCTCGCTGTCACCAGGCACCAGGCTGGAGTGCAGCTGTGCGATCTTGGCTCACTGCAACCTCTGCCTCCCAGGTTCAAGCAATTCTCCTGCCTCAGCCTCCTGAGTAGCTGGGACTACAGATGCATGCCACCATGCACAGCTAATTTTTGTATTTTTAGTAGAGACGGGGTTTCACCATGTTGGTCAGGATGGTCTCAATCTCTTGACCTTGTGATCCACCCGCCTCAGCCTCCCAAAGTGCTGGGATTACAAGTGTGAGCCACCGCTCCGGGCCTTTTTTTTTTTTTTTTTTTTTTTTTTTTTTCTGAGACAGGATCTCATTCTGCACCCAGGCTGGAGTGTAGTGGTGCAATCATGGCTTACTGCAGCCTCCACCTCCAAGGCTCAAGCAATCCTCCCATATCAGCCTATTGAGTAGCTGGGACTACAGGCATATGCCACCACACCTGGATAATTATTATTATTTTGTATTTTTAGTAGAGGGAGGGTTTTGCCATGTTGGCAAGGCTGGTCTTGAACTCCTGAGCTCAAGTGATCCTTCCACCTTGGCCTCCCAGCGTTAGGATTACAGGTGTGAGCCACTGTGCCCAGCCTTGGATCATACAATACTTCTATGTTTAACTTTTCGAGGAACTATCAAACTGTTTTCCACAGTGACTTCCCCATTTTACATTCCTATCAGCAATGTAAAATTTCTTAACATCCTCACAAACACTTTTGTCTTGTTTTTAAAATTTATACCCATCACAGTAGGTGTGAAGTGGTATCTCATTTTATGCATTATTGAAAAACAGTTTTGCTGGATGTGGAAATCTTGGTTTAAGTTTTCTTTCATCATTTCAAATATCATTCCATTGCCCTCTGGCCTCCATGGTTTCTGATAAGAAGTCTATTGCTAATCTTACTGAGACTCCCTTACATGTGATGTACCAATTTGTTCCTTTGAAGATTCTGTGCCTTTTAATGGTTTGACAGATATGTCCAAGTAAGTCTTTTTAATTTTGTCCTACTTGGAGTCCATTGAGGTTTTAGATACACAATTTAAAAAAAAAAATCAAATGTGGGAAGTTGTTGGTCATTATTTTTTCAAATATTATTACTGACCATTTCCCTCCCTTTTGAGACTCCCATTATGCCTATGTTGGTAAGCATGATAGTATCCCACAGGTGTCTGAGTCTGCTCCTTTTTTTTTTTTGTCTCTTTCCCATGCTGGAGTGCAGTGGTATAAACATGGCTCACTGCAACCTTGACATCCTGTGCTCAATTTTCCCACCTCAGCTTCTTGAGTAGCTGGGACTACAGGTACATGCCACCATGGCTAGCTAAATTTTTAAGTTTTTGTAGACATGGGGTCTTACCATGTTGCCCAGGCTGGTCTAGAACTCCTGGGCTCAAGCAATCCTCCAGCCTTGGCATCCTGAAGCGCTGGGATTATAGGTGGGAGCCACAGTGCCTGGCCTCATTCTTATTTTTTCTTTCTGGTTCTCAGACCAGATACCGTCAATTGACCTGTCTTCAAGTTTTCTGATTCCTTTGCTAGTTCAAATTTGTCAAGCCCCTCTAGTAAATGTCTCAATTTAGCTATTGTACTTACTTATTAACTCTAAAATTTTCGTAATTTCTCTTTACTGATACTGATAACTCTGTTCATGTACTTCCTTTAAATTCTTTAGACACAGCTTTTTTCTTTGAATATCAGAATATTAGCTGGCTTAAAGTCTTTGTCTAGTAAGTCCAATGTTTGGTCTTCCTAAGCAACATTTGCTATTGATTCCCCCACCATTATATTAGCCATACTTTCCTGTTTTTGTCTGTTTTGTATTTTTGTTATTGTTAAAAACTGGACATTTTAAGTATGATGATTCAAAATCACATTCTCCCTTTGCCAATGTTTGTTGTGCTCTATGTCCAGAAGACTTGAGAAATCAAAGGGTTTCCTGTCAGATCTCATGATAATGAAAAGAATAAAAGGATGGAGGCAAAAACTGACCTAATTTTCTGGCCATAAAAATAGAAAAACACTTCACAATGGTCTATAAAAACATAATTATAAAGATGATTTTCATATATCTGAGGAAGTTAAAAAAAAGAGCAACCTCCCATTTCTTGAATTGTAGCGATTAAGTCTTGTCCTAAGACTCAAGTTCAAAAGCTAGTTCTGTCTCATACTACTACTTCAATAAATGATGCAAGTTCTCAGAGCTTGTTTCCTCATTTGTAAAATGGATAGTACTTGAAAGGCACTATGAAGGAGGGAAACATAGATGTGAAAGTACTTTTTAAACAGTAAAGTGCCATGCTCAGCATATGCACATGATGGTTTGAGTTATGGGTTATGGAAAGAGTTGTCAAGTGATTTAAATAAATTACTATTTAAACAGTCTTATTTAAATAAGGACTAGATGTTATATACCCAAACATTTAACATGGAAATATATTTAAAAATAGAAAACACTTTATAAAATTTCATCTTGGACTATGTAAATTCTAAAAGTTGACTTAAAATTTTTTGTTTGAATAGTTTCTAAGTCAAAGCAATTTTTTAAAAGACGACACATCAGAAGTCTTCCTTAGGCCTGTCCCTTTCACCTTATTCTTGTCTTGCTCTCTGTGGAGGAAACAGTCTTCTTTTCTTTCCTGTCAATATTCTCTTATCCAGATGTGAGAAAATATGAATAATGTACTCTCTGAATTTTATTTGCAATATCACTGTGAAGTAAATTCTTATGCACATCAGTGGCCAAGATAATTGGTCAGTTACACAGCAAATAGCAGGCCTAGGACTCAAGTCTAGGCTTGCTAATACCAAGTTACCACATCCACTTTGTGCTGCCTGGGGAACTTTCTGTGAAAAATGGGGTAAATCTTTCAGAAAACTGTGTACAGAGCTGTGTTCTTAAATATATCTGCCTTTCAGATTGGTGGACCAGACAGTTCCAGGCTAACTTCTCGTTTGGGGAATGAGTATGTCAACATGATGAACATGCTTCTTTTCACACTCCCTGGAACTCCTATAACTTACTATGGAGAGGAAATTGGAATGGGAAATATTGTAGCCACAAATCTCAATGAAAGCTACGATACTGTAAGTTGAATACAACTTGACTATTTGTCACAGCTATAAAACCAAGGACTCATTTTTAATTTTTTTGCCAAAGCAGGGAACTTACTGTCTCTCTATTCTACTGCTGAAAATCATGGTTACTTTGCTTTTTTTACTGTTAGTAAGAATTCTCAGCTTTCTTGGTAGTTTGAGAGCTTATTTTGAAAATGCTTTCTGAGCCACACAACTGAATTTCTTGGGTAAGGCATTTTAAAGATGTTTTCCACCTGATAAGCACATTAAAATTTATTTTTTTCCTTTTTGCCAGGAATACCGTGTTGAGAGGCACACTAAAAATGGAGAACCAGTGGTTTACTTTAGATTATTATTCATTTCCCTCTACTTGAAATGTGGAGTTAGGAACACTTATTTCTTTAGTTCTTATTTGTCCTGTTTGGTCTTGGGTGACCACAGCACAAAGACTCTTCCTTTTATGTTATCAAGTGCAGTGCACAGCCTCAGAGTTGAGCAGTTTTTTATTTTGCAGCTACAGATTTCAGAATTGTGTTGCTGGGCAGATGACTATCTTGAAACTTTAACTTGCCTGGTTAGCTTTCAATTGTATGAGATCCAATTTCCCTAATATTTAAGGTAGCTTTTTTTCTCTATCAGCTCCTACATTTGCGTGTGCGCACCCATGAGCAATATACAGGCTGAATAAACCAGTAGGATAGAATTCACACTCACTTGTACATGGCAATGTTCTTAAATTCACCATCACTGTACCACAGTAGAAGTTGTATAAAACAGTAACAGCACATTTTTAAATCCTACATTACTGATTTTTAGGCAAAAGCAGCAATGATTTCAAGCATGTATTAAGGTTCAATTAGTATTGTCTATTCAAATTCAAATGTTAAAGTTCAACTAGTATTGTCTATTCAAAGTCAATGTTATTAGGTACTTTCTAGTTAAAAGTGTGAAGCTGGTTTATGTACTGAATGTTAAGGCCTTTTCATCAGAAATGCTAGTGAGTACAAGCACTAGCTAAAACTATAGGGAATTAAAAATTTATGAAGTAAATCAGCACCAAAGTGCATTTCTTTTAATAACCAGACCACTGTTTCCTCTTTCTGGTCTTTTGACATAGAATACCCTACTCTCAAAGTCACCAATGCAGTGGGACAATAGTTCAAATGCTGGTTTTTCTGAAGCTAGTCACACCTGGATACCTGCCAATTCAGATTACCACACTGTGAATGTTGATGTAAGTATCAGTGAAAATTTTATGTTGATTCTAGAAACAAGAAATGGGTTTCTACTGAAAGTACACACTCACCCCGATTGTGTCTAAACCTTAACTGATAACTCTTTAAGCCAATCACAGACTTCCCTTGCTGTTTTCAATTTGTAAGGAGTTTGCAAATCATGCCTTTGTGAAACTACAAACTGGTACAAATGTACCATGTGAAGCAAACTATCATACAGAATAGACTACTCTTCACTGGCCTTTGAGCAATGAAGGAAATTTTATGGAAGTTCTTTTTAGCAAGCCCAGTTCCTCCTCTCTTCCCCTCAAAAGGCAGGGATAGGGGAGTTTTTTTTTAAAAGAAGACACATCAGAAGTCTCTTTCATGTCTAAATTACTTAGAATACAATATGTCCAAAATATTCCCATAGGCAAATTTGAATATTGTATTCAAATTACAATACTCAAATTGGCCTATGGGAATATTTTGGACATAATGAAAATCAACAGGCATTTAATCCAAATCACAAATGTTAAATATATATTTTGTGTTTTCAAGATCTATGTAGAAAATCCTACATAAAATGCATACCAGCAAAGATGGAAAGTGCAAATGCAAATTAAAACTATTTTTGAGACCGAGTTTCGCTCTTATTGCCCAGGCTAGAGTGCAATGGCATGGTCTCGGCTCACTGCATCCTCCACCTCCTGGGTTCAAGCGATTCTCCTGCCTCAGCCTCTCAAGTAACTGGGATTACAGGCATGCCCACCACCATGCATGGCTAATTTTTGTATTGTTAGTAGAGATGGGGTTTTACCTTATTGGGCAGCCTAGTTTCAAACTCCTGACCTCAGGTGATCCGCCCACCTCGGCCTCTCAAGGTGCTGGGATTACAGATGTGAGCCACTGTGCCAGGCCAACAATGACATTTTTTTCTATCAGATTAACAAAGTCTTTAAAAATGATCATGAGTGATGAGGGATACCAAATCATAAATCCCAGATAATGCCATTTTAATAAAATACATCCAGATGATCCTGGAAAGGAACTGAAAATTTAAGAAATTTCTAAAAGATATCAAGTAAAATTAGGGCTGGGCATGATGGCTCACACCTGTAATCCCAGCATTTTGGGATGCCAAGGCCAGAAGATCGCTTGAGCACAGGAATTTGAGACGAGCCTAGGCAATACAGGGAGACCTTGTTTCTACCTTTGCACTCCCACCTATGTCCCCCCAAAAAAGAGAAATGAGCCGGGCCTGGTGACATATGCCTGTAGTCCCAGCTACTCAGGAGGCTGAACCCAAGAGTTCAAGGTTGCAGTGAGCTGCGATTGTCCCACTGCACTCCAGCCTGGGTGACAGAGTAAGACTGTCTCAAAAAAAAAAAAAAAAAATTACGCACACACACACACACGCACACACACACACACACACACACGCATCTAAAACACACAGGAGAAAAACAGTTCTAACAGGGATAGAGCACACTGTAGTAATTTCCTAAACTGCTGCAATTGGCCATGGCATAATTTCCCTAAGAAAAAAAAATCCAAGAACTGTTTGGTGATCACATGCATGGTAGAACGATTACAACAAAGCCTGAAGCTTCTACAAGTGCATCAGAAGAAAGAAAAGAAGGAAAACAAGACCTAACTCTAGTGCTGTCCCCTTGGTGAGAATTCACTGTGGAATGCTCCCAGAAAGGACAGCTTTTACTACTCAGCTCACAGAGTTACAGGGACCAGGAGAAAAAAAAGGTGGAAATCTAGCAAGCTTATCACCTTCAAGTAGGAAAAGAACCAACGTCCCAAAGACATGTCAGACCCACATCCATCTTGGTTTCTCACAATTATGAGAGGCAGACAACTGAAGACAAATGAGAAAGGTCAAAACACAAAAGCAAACAGATCAAGAATCACACAGTATCTGACAACAACAAAGACCAAGAAAGGGAGACACCATTCCTAACAGAACACTGTAAAAGCAGAAAATATAGCAAACATAAGACTTCAATACAAGTATAAATACCCCCAGTAGATGGTTGATTAATGGAGCTCCTTGATAATTCTTTAAAGAAGTGATTTGAGGCCGGGCGCGGTGGCTCAAGCCTGTAATCCCAGCACTTTGGGAGGCCGAGGCGGGTGGATCACGAGGTCAAGAGATCGAGACCATCCTGGTCAACATGGTGAAACCCCGTCTCTACTAAAAATACAAAAAAATTAGCTGGGCATGGTGGTGCGTGCCTGTAATCCCAGCTACTCAGGAGGCTGAGGCAGGAGAATTGCCTGAACCCAGGAGGCGGAGGTTGCGGTGAGCCGAGATCGCGCCATTGCACTCCAGCCTGGGTAACAAGAGCGAAACTCCGTCTCAAAAAAAAAAAAAAAAAAAAAAAAAAAGTGATTCGATACCTCAGAAGTGTAAAAGACTGTCAAACAATTACATAAAATAGAACATAAGTGCTACTTAGTGTGCTGAAAAATTGATCCAGGGGCTTGTCCAGAATGTCCTGAAAAAGGCAAAGAATTAAGAGCATATGAAAAATTTGGATACATGGAAGATAGATGCAGAATTCCAACATGCAGCAACAATTGCACAGGAGAACAGAAGGGAGGAGACATATAATCAAAGAAATAAAACACATAACCCAGAGATAAAGGAAGACTTATCTTCCTTTAGAACAGCTAGGATAAAGAGAAAACTCCCAAACTACTCAAACCAAACCTGAAAATAGACTGCCTGAGAAAAGGGTTAAAAATTGAACTAGCATCAGACTTCTCAATTGGATACTGTAGCACACTGGAACTCTAACTTCAAAGTTGTAATGGAAACTGAATTCTAAACCCTAGAATTCTATATCCATTCAAACTGGCATGTAAGAGAGCAAAACAGAGATGGAAAAGCAAGGACCCACATTTTACCACGTGTGGCTATCTTCTGAAAGAATAGTGAAGGGACTATCCAGCAAAACAAAACACAACAAATCTAAAATGGAGATACAATGTATTAAAAGAAGGAAAAGGAAACACTATAATTTGATTTAAAAAAAATTTTGATACACAATGTAAAACAAGGTATTCTGGAACAAAAATCTTAGTGATTTGATTCTATGTGGGAAATGTTAGCAGGAAGGGTGTGTGGGTGGGAGGGGATGCACAGGAAAAAGTATACATTTGAGCTGTTCAGTAGCCATTAACCACTGTGACTATTAACATTAAACAGAATTGGACATTTAGTTCCTGCTGGACATGGTGGCTCACGCCTATAATCCTAGCACTTTGGGAGGCCGAGGCGGGTGGATCACGAGGTCAAGAGATCAAGACCATCCTGGTCAACATGGTGAAACCCCGTCTCTACTAAAAATACAAAAAAAAAAAAAAAAATTAGCTGGGTATGGTGGTGCATGCCTGTAATCCCAGCTACTCAGGAGGCTGAGGCAGGAGAATTGCCTGAACCCAGGAGGCGGAGGTTGCGGTGAGCCGAGATCGCGCCATTGCACTCCAGCCTGGGTAACATGAGTGAAACTCCGTCTCAAAAAAAAATAAAATTAAATAAAATTAAAAAAAAAAAAAAATTAGCTGGGCATGGTGGCACACACCTGTATTCCCAGCTACTCAGGAGGCTGAGGTGGGAGGATCACTTGATCCCAGGATGTTGAGGCTGCAGTTGAGCCATGATTGTGCCACTGCACTCCAGCCTGGGCAACAGAGGGAGACTCTTTGAAAAATAAAGTGTTAGTATGACATCGGAACTAATTTTATTTAAGTGCTCAGTAGCTGCCATATTGGATAGCACTGATACAGAATGTTTCCAGCATTACAGAAAGTTCTATTGGCCAGCATTGTTCTAGATGTTGAGAAAAATTATTTTAAAGTCATAATTTTAATGGTAAAATTTGGACAAATTTTCAAAGAACACTAGAAGAAAAAATTATACAGTCAACCCAATAAAAAGCTTAACAGAAAAAAAACCCATATAACCACAAATAAAAGATAAAATAGGGCTTCAGAATTATGTCTAAACATAACAATCACAAATATGAATGGGTTAAATTAGCCTATTAAAGATAAAACCACTCAGCTAACAAGGCAAAATACAGATATGAGACACAGCTTTAAAACGAAAGACATACAAAGAATTAAAGATAAATCAAGCAAAGAATTGAAGATAAAGCAAGCAAAGAATAAAAAAAAAGCCTACAACTCAGCTATAGCTATAAACAAAAAAATGCAGTTACCTTTTGACTGAATAATTCCATTCCTAGATACTTATATTTAGAAATATTTGCATCGGTGGTGCATAATTGATAAATACTAAAGGTCTCTAAACACTTTTTTTTTTTTTTTTTTTGAGACAGAGTCTTGCTCTGTCACCCAGGCTAGAGTGCAGTGGCATGATCTTGGCTCACTGTAGCCTCCACCTCCCGGGTTCAAGCAATTCTCTTCCCTCAGCCTCCCAAGTAGCTGGGATCACAGGTGCACATCATCATGCCTGGCTAATTTTTGTATTTTTTTTTTTTTTTTTTAGTAGAGATGGTGTTTCACTATGTTGGCTAGGCTGGTCGTGAACTCCTGGCCTCAGGTGATCCACCTGCCTTGGCCTCCCAAAGTGCTAGGATTACAGGTGTGAGCCACCATGCCCAGCCTACAATACTTGTTAATAGAAGACACGAGAAATGATTTAGATATTTTATCAATAGAAAACCACTTCTATCAATTATGGGCCCAGTATGCAGCTTTTAAAAATGAGAGAGCTCTATATAAATTAATATGAGACCATTTCTAACATGTATTCAAGTATAGAATGGGAACATGCCACCAATTGTATAAAGAAAAATATGTAAACATGTTTACATAGGCACAGAATGTATCATTTCATATGATACATAAAAACGAACACATAAGTAGTAATAGTGCCTGTCTGAGGGGAACTGTGAAGCTATGGAACTGTGTTAAAACCTTTTTATAGGAATGTATTCTGCTTGTAATTGAATAAAAAAATTATAAATATCAGGCTTGGAAATATTTAATAGCAGACAAAATATAGTTCAATATGAAAAGCATTATATGAGACAAAGGCAATTTTGAAAAACTGATAAAACACCATTCCACTAAAAATCATGAATATGCATCTAACAACAGCTTCAAAATATATAAAATACGCAAATGTAAAAGTGACAAATCTGCAATTACAGAAAAAGACTTCAACATATTCCTAGAAAGTAATAACAAGTAGACAATAATAGTTAACACTTACTGGGCACTTCTTATGTGAGTGGCACTGAAACGTGCTTTCATGCATTACCTAAGGCTAGAGAAAATGTTAGTAACTTTGACAAGTCATATACATGTATCATAAATACCTTTGTACCTGACCAACAGAATAAACATTTTTTCAAACACCCATTATTAGATAATTATTTTAAAGACCACATATTGGGAATCCACCCCTAAAGAACAACACAACCACAATAACCACCACCACCCCAGTAAACATGGCTGGCAAGAGTACAAGTAAATAAACATTATTGATTTGGCAACAGCTCTTATGAAGAATTTGGCATTATGTATCAAGTGTCCATATTCTTTGACAAAGTGTCTCTCTGATAATCTAAAATATAAAAATGGGGGGAGGGGAATACAAATAGAAAATATTGGAAACACAAATGTCAAAATGAAAGGGAGTGGTTAAGTATGGCACAACCATTCAACAGAATATTGTCATTAAAAACATTTATGGAGGTTATATAGTCAACAGAATATGCTTGAAATGTTAGAAGTACATCATCAAATTATGTATGTTTTATATAGCTGTAAAATAAACCCAAATAATCTTTAATGAACACATACTATTTTTATGGTTAAAAAAAAAAATCTACAATTTCTAACTCCCACCTCAGGCAGCTATTTATTTTGCATCCTTTTTTCAACTTTCTCTTCTATTATTAGCTGTGCAAGAAATACATGTCTGCTAAACTTACGTGATCTTTGCACAGCAGCAACCTCTACATTATTCTACAAAGGGGAACAAACAAGCCCCAATTCCTCAGAAGTCTGAGTCCATTGTTGCTTTCCTTCTGGGCATCTGGCAGTTACAATACAGTACAGAGTGATTTTACACGAGTAAAATATTCATCAACTTAGACTTGGACGTTTGTTTTGGGATTCCTAAAGTGGAGTCAAATTTGGTCTCTACAGAAACTCCACAATGTAGCAGAGCACTGTGCAAGCTTTAATGACTCCCAGACAAGCTGAAACCCTGAATTTGTCATTTCTATCAGTTTTTAGATGAATTATTCTTACCTACTTATTGATGCTTACAATTTGGCAAATTATAAGGGGCAAAAGTGAAACGAGTGTTTTGGGGAAATAACTCCTTATAATATATTAAAAATACTTACAAACAATTGTGAATACTTTTTTTTTAAAAAACAGGTCCAAATGACTCAGCCCAGATCGGCTTTGAAGTTATATCAAGATTTAAGTCAACTTCATGCCAATGAGCTACTCCTCAGCAGGGGCTGGTTTTGCCATTTGAGGAATGACAGCCACTATGTTGTGTATACAAGAGAGCTGGATGGCATAGACAGAATCTTTATCGTCATTTTGAATTTTGGAGAATCGACACTGCTAAATCTACAGAATATGATTTCAGGCCTTCCCACTAGAGTGAGAATAAGGTTAAGTACCAATTCTACCAACAAAGGCAGTGAAGTTGATACCAGTGGCATTTTTCTGGACAAGGGAGATGGACTCATCCTTGAACACAACACGAACAATCTCCTTCATCACCAAACAGCTTTCAGAGATAGATGCTTTGTTTCCAATCGAGCATGCTATTCCAGTGTACTGAACATACTGTATACCTCGTGTTAGGCACCTTTATGAAGAGATGAAGACACTGGCATTTCATTGGGATTGTAAGCATTTGTAGTAGCTTCATGTACAGCATGCTGCTTGGTGAACAATCATTCATTCTTAGATATTTCTGTAGCTTGAACGTAACTGCTTTAAGAAGGGTTCTCAAATATTTTGAAAAAATAAAATGTTTAAAAGTAAATTATCACTTATAGGAGCTTATAACTTTATTGAGATAGCATCAATCAGGGATGACCAGAACACATTAGGACCCCAGAATATTCAGAAACTCTTAACGAATTTTAATGGGAAGAATGTTATCTTTTCCCTTAAAATGCAGTCATAGAAATTACAGGATGACTCCCTGCCACAGTGTCTAAAAGCATTTGCTAGCAGAGAGGAAGGACACTGATTTGTAAACTGTTCAACTGTTCTGACTGGAAGGGAGGCCTAGAGTTCTGCTGTCACCAATCCTTCCCTTGTCCCCAACCCCATGTCCTTCTAAGGAGCATGATTTGAAAACTACTTTCCTAGGTTAATGGGCATGTGCATTAACGGAGAGAATAGTATAAGCAAGTGAGATGTAGACTAAGCAAAATTTAGATGGAGAAGCATATTTTAAAAGATTAATAACTTCAAAATCTCTAAGTTACTAATTTTTTTTTGCTAACTCAGTTGGAAGTAACACTACCAAATATTTCAGTGTTTCCAATTCCCAGTTGAATGCAGTGTTTCAGAATTTCAGATATTTCTTAAGATCCTCGAAAACACTGGTGCTGTCAAGTCCAAGTTCCTCGTACAGGAATTTAATTTGGGCTGTAATCTAAAAGAAACACATTTTAAAAATTAGAAGGCCTTTGTAGTAAAATGCCACTGTTGAAACTTCGTCTATCTATCTTCACCTAACCCTAAAATCAGCAATTTATGGCAAGAATACTTTTATTTGGGAGAGAGACAGCAGGCTTCCAACAATTAAGATTAAATTATTTTCTTTAACAGAGCTCACTTACCAAGTACTAGAGACATTTCTCTTGATTGACACAGTGACCCTCCATCCCCTCCTAGTTCTCACCCATGGACAGGACATTTGTGAAGTAGCTTTGTCATAAATCCTGCTGCAACCACTGAAAACTTATAAATACAACATCTCTCTAGTTCAGGTATCTGTCTACAGAGGGGCTTGATAACATACCTTTTTGTGAGAATCCTCAATGACATGATTGCCTCCAGGCTGAATATCTAGAATAATATTAGGGGCCTGATAGCCTGAAAGAGTTAATATGTAGAACAATTAGAAGACTGTTTGGAATCTTCTTTGGAAGATCCAGACCCATTTCTCCCCTGTTCTTTGAGTACTCAGTTCAAATAATAGTGAAGGAATAAAAAGCAAAAACCACCATCGTTAACAAAAAGATGGGAGGGGACAGGCAGCAGAAGACAAACTCCTGACACCGGGAAAGCCGGAAGAGGCCGTATGGAAAAGACTATGTGGTGCCACATGGAGAAGGCTGAAACCCAGATCAACCTGCCCTGTGGAATCTGAGAGTCTTCTGCCCTGAAAACGCCAACTATAGCAATGTGTAGGAATGACAAATGGAAAGGAATACAGGGACACTGACTTAGCATGCAGTTCCAAGGCAAAAAGGAGGGATTCGTATCTCATAAAGCCAAAACTACTATCTAGAGGAAATTCAAGCACCTAAACAGTCTGGGCACTGGTGGCCCAAAGCAAACACCTCAGAATCCATCTTTTAGAGATTCCCAAGAATAACAGCTCAATAAATATTGTTAAATGAATAACTGTATAGCAGTACATCTTCAAGTTATATTTGAGCCTTAAATTTATCTTTTTCTTTGTGTCTGCCTACCTATTTTAATATTGTCCTTTGAAAAAGAGGTGAGGCAGTGTACGTATAGTTATGTAGCTACATACACTTTAACTGGGCAGTCAATATAGGATAATAACTGGCCTAAATCCTGGGCAGATGATTTGGTTGCAGGCTGAAATATATTACTCTGAGCAGTGTGCTGTGGGTAGTAGTCTGTTTGGCCACATTCCCTGCTTCTAGGTCGTCTCCTACCTTCTCCTGTGTCCTTAGTATGCTCCATGATGGCTTCCTTGAGTTTCTCAGTATAGCTTACAATTCCCTTCAGAGGTACACGTTCATCATTTTCATACGCCGTTATGTGTATTGAAGGATAATGCTGAAAGAAAATACATGCACAAAGAATTTTTTTTTTGATGTAGTTACACAAAATTGTATTTATTTTTTAATTGTACTTTAGGTTCTGGGGTACATGTGCAGACCATGCAGCATTGTTGCATAGGTACACACATGGCAATGTGGTTTGCTGCCTCCATCCCCCCGTCACCTACATCTGGCATTTCTCCCCATGTTATCCCTCCCCAACCACTCCACCTACCCCAGCTGTCCCTCCCTTGGTGCCCTCGCCAACAGACCCCAGTGTGTGATGCTCCCCTCCCTGTGTCCATGTGTTCTCATTGTTCAACGCCTGCCTATGACTGGGGACATGTGGTGTTTTTCTGTTCTTGTGTTAGCTTGCTGAGAATTATGGTTTCCAGATTCATCCATGTCCCTACAAAAGACACGAATTCATTGTTGTTTATGGCTGCACAGTATTCCACGGTATATACGTGCCACATGTTCCTTGTCCAGTCTATTGTTGATGGGCATTTGGGTTGGTTCCAGGTCTTTACTATTGTAAACAGTGCCATTATGAACATGTGTGTGCATGTGTCTTTATAACAGAATGATTTATAATCCTTTGGGTATATACCCAGTAATGGGATTGCTGGGTCAAATGGAATTTGTATTTCTAGGTCCTTGAGGAAACACCACAGTGTCTTCCATAATGGTTGAACTAGTTTACACTCCCACCAACAGTGTAAAAGTGTTCCTATTTCTCCACATCCTCTCCAGCATCTGTCGTCTCCAGATTTTTTAATGATCACCATTCTAACTGGCATGAGGTGGTATCTCAATGTGGATTTGATTTGCATTTCTCTAATAATCATTGATGATGAGCATTTTTTCAAATGTTTCCTGGCCTCATAGATGTCTTCTTTTGAAAAGTGTCTGTTCATATCCTTCTCCCACTTTTAGATGGGTTTGTTTTTTTCTTGTAAATCTATTTTAGTTCTTTGTAGATTCTGGATATTAGCCCTTTGTCAGATGGGTAGATTGCAAAAATTTTTTACCGTTCTGTTGGTTGTTGGTTCACTCTAATGATTCTTTCTTTTGCTGTGCAGCAGCTCTTAAGTTCAATTAGATCCCATTTGTCTATTTTGGCTTTTGTTGCCATTGCTTTTGGTGTTTTCATCATGAAGTCCTTGCCTATGCCTATGTCCTGAATGGTATTGCCTAGGTTTTCTTCTAGAGTTTTTATGGTGTTAGGTCTTATGTTTAAATCTTTAACTCATCTGGTGTTAATTTTAGTGTAAGGTGTAAGAAAGGGATCCAGTTTCTGCTTTCTGCACATGGCTGGGCAGTTTCCCAACACTATTTATTAAACAGGGAATCCTTTCCTCATTGCTTGCTTTTGTCAGGTTTGTCAAAGATCAGATGGTTGTAGATATGTGGCATTGCTTCCAAGGCCTCTGTTCTGTTCCACTGATCTATATCTCTGTTTCTGTACCATGCTGTTTGGATTACTGTAGCCTTGCAGTACAGTTGAAGTCAGGAGTGTGATGCCTCTAGCTTTGTTCTTTTTGCTTAGGATTGTCTTGGCTATGTGGGCTCTCTTTTGGTTCCATATGAAATTTAAAGTGTTTTTTTCCAGTTCTGTGAAGAAGATCAATGGTAGCTTGATTGGGACAGCGTTGTATCTATAAATTACTTTGGGCACTATGGCCATTTTCATGATATTGATTCTTCCTAAACATGAATATGGAATGTTTTTCCATCTGTTTGTGTCCTCTCGTTTTCCTTGAGCAGTGGTTTGTAGTTCTCCTTGAAGAGGTCCTTTACATCCATTGTTAGTTGTATTCCTAGGTATTTTATTCTCTTTGTAGCAATTGTGAATGGGAGTTTGCTCATGATTCAGCTCTCTGTTAGTCCGTTAATGCTGTATAGAAATGCTTGTGATTTCAGCACATTGATTTTGTATCCTGAGACTTTGCTGAAGTTGCTCATCAGTTTAAGGAGATTTTGGGCTGAGATGATAGGGTCTTCTAAATATACAATCATGTAGTCTGCAAATAGAGACAATTTGACTTCCTCTTTTCTAATTGAATACCCTTTATTTTTTTTTCTTTCCTAATTGCTCTGGCTAGAACTTCCAATACTATACTGAATAGGAGTGGTGAGAGAGGGCATCCTTGTCTAGTGCCATATTTCAAAGGGAATGCTTCCAGTTTTTGCCCATTCAGTATGATATTGGCTGTAGGTTTGTTGTAAACAGCTTTTATTATTTTGAGATACATTCTGTCGATACCTAGTTTATTGAGGGTTTTTAGCATAAAGGGCTGTTGAATTTTGTAAGGCCTTCTCTGCATCTATTGAGGTAATCATGGTTTTTGTCTTTGGTTCTGTTTATGTGGTGGATTATGTTTATAGACTTGTGTATGTTGAACCAGCCTTGCATCCCTGGAAACAGCTAAGGATCTAAGATGGATGGAGAATGAATCTGATGAATTGACAGAAACAGGCTTCAGGAAGTGGGTAATAACAAATTTCTCAGAGCTAAAAGAACATGTGCTAACCTAATGCAAAGAAACTAAGAACCTAGAAAAAAAGTTAGATGAGATGCTAACTAGAATGAACAGCTTAGAGAATACAAATGACTTGATGGAGCTGAAAAACACAGCACGAAAACTTCGTGATGCATATACGAGTTTCAATAGCTGAATCGACCAAGCAGAAGAAAGGATATCAGAGACTGAGGATCAACTCAATGAACTAAAATGAGAAGGCAAGAACAGAGAAAAAAAAGTGAAAAGAAATGAACAAAACCTCCAAGAAATATGGGATTATGTGAAAAGACCTAATCTATGTTTGATAGGTGTACCTGAATGTGACGGAGAGAATGAATCCAAGCTGGAAAACACTCTTCAGGATATCATCCAGGAGAACTTCCCCAATCTAACATGGCAGGCCAACATTCAAGTCCCAGAAATACAGAGAACACCACAAAGATATTACTCAAGAAGAGCAACCCTAAGGCACATAATCGTCAGATTCACCAGGGTTGA